TAGGGCGCATGTCGGGTCTCGATGCGTAGCCACCTCCTCGTGGTGAGACCTGGTAATTGGTATCGTTTTCCAAAGAGAAATCTTTGGCAAACGATACCAAGCTAAGAGCTACGCACAAAGTTTAAGATATGTCCTATCTCTTGTAAATTTTCAATGTTCCCTTCGAACTTTGAAAATTTAGAGTAGGCAATATCTGTTGAAATAATATGTGAAGTAAGAAGAATAAAGTAAGGAAGGTAAGGTAAGTAAGAGAAGTAAGGTAAGTAAGGGAAGTAAGGTAAGTAAGGTAAGTAAAATAATTAAAATCTCCCGCAATGAGTAGTCTATGTGTACTTTGTATATTCACACAAATGCTGTGAAATTTGTCTGGATAAAATTCTTGGAAAGTGACGTCATTTCTAAGAATCTGTCGATAAGCGACCTCCTATTAAGTTATGTTATCCTAATACAATATCGTCAAATTGGACGAAAATTTTACGCCAGACAGTAGTATTATCCACAGAATTCTTGGAAATGACGTCATTTCTTGGAATCGATCAGCGAGCGACCTCCTGTCATGTTATGTTCTCCTGATACAAAATCGTGAAATCGGGCAAATATTTCTCGACGAGCGACCTCCTGTCATGTTATGTTCTCCTGGTACAAAATCGAGAAATCGGGCAAATATTTCTCGGTGAGCGACTTCCTGTCATGTTATGTTCTCCTGGTACAAAAGTGAGAAATCGGGCAAATATTTCTCGGCGAGCGACCTCCTGTCATGTTATGTTCTCCTGATACAAAATCGCGAAATTGGCCAGAAACTTTTCTTCGAGGCCGGAAAAGTATTGTCCACCGAGCGGCAAAAGTATTGACCACTCAGCGGCAAAAGTATTGTCCACGGAGCGGCAAAAGTATTGACCGCTGAGCGGCAAAAGTATTGTCCACGGAGCGGCAAAAGTATTGACCACTGAGCGGCAAAAGTATTGTCCGCCGTGCTGCAAAACTATTGTCCACCGAGCGGCAAAAATATTGACCACCGAGCGGCAAATTATTGTCCAAAGAATTCTTGGAAATGACGTCATTTCTTGGAACTGTTCTGAACGAGCGACCTCCTGCGATATTATGTTCTCCTAATACAAAATCGCAAAATTGGCCAAAGATTGCTTTCTGAAACTGCAAAAGTATTTGTCCAAAGATACGACCTCCTTTCATATTATGTATTCCTGATACAAAATCGCAAAATTGGCCAAAGGTTTCACTCTGAAACTGCAAAAGTATTGTCCAGAGAACGACCTCCTTCCACATTATGTATTCCTGATACAAAATCGCAAATTGTCCAAAGGTTTCTCTCCAGAACTGCAAAAGTATTGTCCAAAGAGCGACCTCCTTTCATATTATGTATTCCTGATACAAAGTCGCAAAATTAGCCAAAGGTTTCTCTCTAGGACTGCAAAAGTATTGTCCAAAGAAAGACCTCCTTTTATATTATGTATTCCTAATATAAAATCGCAAAATTGGCCAATGGTTTCTCTCTGGAACTGCAGAAGTATTGTCCAAAAAACGACCTCCTTGTGTGTTATCTAATCCTAATACAAAATCTCTTTGGACTTACAAAATAAGGGAAATACGGAGTCTGGTAAAATATTAGGTAAATTAAAAAGTACATTATATAAAGTATACACTTTATTTCAGACATTTTAACAGGTACATACATGTTTCATGAAAAGTGACAGAATCCTAATGAACCGTATATAACATTTGCGCGAAGTCTGCCGCAACTAGATCGTTACATCATTATTATCCCATATATTCCACTAGCGAAATCATTAAATCGTCATTTATTATAGACTAATATCCGGATCGCACTGTGAGCGGATTTCCTATAATCAACGCAGTAATCTATGAACTCGTTTCGTTGATCGGGCATAATAAAACGGGGAAACAGAAAACGCTAACGTAATTTCCATTCCTCAGATATGATCCGATAATTTAGGAAAGTTTTTATCCCGGCCTGAAAATACCGCAGCAGCCGGGCTGAAATTCCCAACAGCGCTCGACTCGTTTGCATGACTTTATTGCACGAATCACCGGCAATATTAAATCGCATGAATATTTAAAAATACGTCTACGTCTGTCAGGGGAACTTCTCTTATACTATTATCCTCTTTTTAGCTTCATTAAACGCGCTTTTAATCGGCCGGCTAAGCTGTCGCAACTTCTGCCACGGCTTTTAAATAGCCACCTCCATTTTTTAATCTTTACTTAAAACTTCTCTTCGATAAAATTCCGCGTTAATTATTCATCGACTTCGACGCGCTGCCTCGTGTACCGATAATCCGATCGCTCGATCGTTTTACATTAACGAATCGCACGTCCGACCTGTTCCATTTCGGATCCAGTTATATTATTGCGTTTCCTTGATCCAACTTTCCCAACTTCTAACTCGTTTAAAACTTACAGCTTGTTCTCTCGCGATACGTTTCGTTACATCTTCGCGTTATGTACAGGGTGTATGAAAATTATTTATCACGATCGTCAAGCCGCGACGCTCCACGCGTTCGAAACCTTATCGAAGTTCAAATTACATTTCTCGCCTCGTCGTGTTCTATTTATCTCGAGGACAAAATATCCGAAAGGAAGAGCACGGGTCGCAAATGAACCGTTCTTAAAAACAGCGAGCCGCAAATATTTCGTCCTACTCCACGGGGACGCGTGGAGCGACCGCAGCGCCGATACTTCCCGAATACGCCGCAAAGGTCTACTCGATACATGCGTCGAGTTGCATTAATACACGCAATCTCGAATCGACGAAACGCTTGTGCTGGCCGCCGCCAGATGCGATGCTGCAAAGTTGAGCGCAAAGTGTACAGGCAGGCCAGGTAATTATGCGCGAGATTAATGAGCGGCTCTGTTTGCCTCGTGTCCGTCGCGGGGCTCGCGTTGTTCCACGAACGGAACGAGCGAACGAACGGAACAGGTTCCCTTCGTGGACGTCCCGCGAAAGCACTTAAAAATATTGTTTTGGCCCCGCCTAGAGCGTCTCGAGGTTACTTAAACATCCTATCTCGAATTCGGCCTCTGCTCGAACTGCGGGGCTCGGGCTCACGAAGGGCGTGGACTAAGTAGCCCGTCGACCGTCGTTTATCCTCCGTTAGCCCTCTTCCTCCCTTTTTTCTCTCTCTTCTCTCTTCTCTTTCTCCTCTTCTCTCCCTTTTTCTCTTCTTTTTCGTTAATTGCGCCCCGCACCGACCAGCCGACCACGCTTCTCACCTGTTGCAAACGTATAAATATTAAACCGGCCGGTTGTTGCCTACGAATTCGCCTAGTTCCATAAACCAGCCGAGATAATCATCGTGTCTGTCGCGGGCACATTCAAATGACCCTGAGCCGTTTGTTTTCGTCGTTAAACAGGCGGAGGAGCGCTCGAGCCGGAAATTAATACGCCTCCGTGCGAGAAAAGGGGTCCGTGGTAAATCGTTTCCCCCGCCAACCCCTTTTTTCGTGGTTACCCGCCGTTTCGAACCGCGGCCACAGAATACGGGGCACGCAGGAGGCAGAGGGGGGAAAAAAGGAGAATCGATTATCTATCGGTGAATTATGATAATTACTCGCTTACCACTTTTTTCCTCTTGGTCGCGGGGCCTTAACGGTTGCTGCTTGGTAGAGGCACGAAATAAACACAGGCTTTTCAAAGGGACCATTTCTGACGAACGGTAGGTCAACGAGGAAGTTGCTTTTCGAGAGATTGCACGTAAAAGAGCGAGATGACTCGCATGTATGTACCGTCAGCGTTGGTTTTATATCTGTGAATGAGAATGTGGTAGAATAAGTGAAACTCATGTGGGATGATATAAACATAATATATGCGAGTGCAGTCTAGTATGAATTATGTTTGAAAAATGTTTGGAAGAATGTGCCAGTATAAAACAGTTACGTGAGAGTCGTCAAAGAGTAAACACGTGTTAACAAGAATGAGAGAGAGAGATAAAGAGAGAGAAGGATTTTCTAGAATATTGTAATATTGTATCACATGTGTGGATATACTGGGTAGAAAATAATATACTCAGAATTACTCCTTCACGATATATTTACACAACTGCTCTAGACGGATTCTCAATACGGACTGACTCGATTACCATTCCAGGTCCTTGGTACGCACAGCTCGCACACGTACACACTGCGCGCAATACAATAACGTTCAAACAATTAACGGAAGATGTCGCGATTGAAGATCGTCGATAATATAGATCTAACATAGAAAATGTCAACCTTTTTGTTTAAAATAGTTTATTGCGAGTTGTTATTATTTAAATATTTTTATCCGAATATACTAAAATAACACTGTTAAAAATTGTTAAAAAACGTAGAAGATATTGGTGTTCATTTCTATCTACATATACGAGGCTTTTTTTAATGCCACACACACTTCTCTCTTTGCATTTTCATGACAGTATTATATTACATTACAAATCTTTTTCCATCTTCATGTAACTAGGACAGTGTTATAAAAATCTATCAGCAGCTGTGATCGACTAATAACGAGACTAAACACCCTTAACTCTAGAACTGTTGATATTCTACGAATTTTTGCTAAATCGTTTAGATTGGTTCTTCCAAGGCTTCCAACATTGTTCTACAGTCTTTTATTGTGAGATTTGACACAGTGTTCCACGTAGTCATTATGTAATAATTTGTTACAGTATTGTACTTGGAAATATTGCAAATATTTTTATCGCGTGTCTTCTTTTCTACAGAAGCATTATATTATACTACAATCTTCACCGTCCTATGTCGATCCAGACTCGAAATTTTATAATATCTTAATCGACCTATCTCTTTTCGTCTTTTCAGTACGACAGGAATTAAAAATTTCCTGCTTCTCGAACGAAAAAGACGTATATATCTATCTACGTGTCAGGTGACGCTTGAAGAATTATTAACAAAGATTTTACCTAATCTAAACCACGTGAGCAGATACCTTCGAGAACTTAAGAACTAAAGAAAGCTAGTAACGCGTGCATAGACTGTCATCTTAACACAAATTATCCATCTATTTCATTCTCTCGCAGATAAAAGTCGGTAACATAGAAATCTACCCAATTAGAGGATCATAAACTTACGACGATAAGCAAGGATATCCTCAGAGGACGAATAAATACGATCGAATGGTGTTAAGGCTCTGCGAAAATCGGCGTGGATCGAAAAAGATGGAAACAATAATAAGAGACGTTATGAGCTTTATTTCCACGTAACGAACGTTCCCTCGACGTCCGACGTGATCCCTGCGAGAAATATTGACGTCGACGCCGTACAATTGGCGTACCTATCATCCCCGATATCAGCTCGGAGATAGACCGGAAAGGAGCCTAATTAAACTTTCACGATAGGGGCAGGTATCCCCCAAATCGTTTCTAATCTTTCGATCTTCGAGCTCGACCGACCCGAACCCCGGTCCTCGGAACCTGATCTAACGCGTCTCTGGCACCCTCTCTCTCGTTCCCTGCACCACTTGCGTTCCTCCGCGCGGTCCATTCGTCCCCTGTTCCTCTTCTTCTTCATCAGGGCAGACCATCGGGGTCGATGCGTTATTGATTGCCACTGGAACAGAGTTTATTAAATCCGGTTAGCGGTGAGTCGACAGGAAGTTGGTTACACGGCTAAGTATCCGGGTAACACGGTTTATGGATAATAGAGAAGATTGCAGGTGAGTATAGGTAAGTATGGAAATGAAAGGAAAATCAGGGAGTATATCGCGGTATTTACATATGCTTAAGAGTTTGCTACTTGCTTTCGGGATATTCGAAACGATCGCCGATTTCGTCGCTGATACGCGGATCGTTGCTAAAAAGTTTGCGAATATTTTACTCCACCGGACGTTTACCAAGCTTTCATCCCATTGGAATATTTTAAGATATAAGTATGACGAATGATAAAATTTGAAGAAACACGTCGAGTTTATGTCCGTTCGAAATCTTTCGACAATTCGAGCTGATATATCGGAATAACCGCGAAATAGAAATGAAATGAAATGAAATAAAAGAAATAAACGAAGTAAAAATGAAAATAAAATAAAATAATAAAAACTAAACATGCAACACCTAGGATTGTATAAATTGTAGAAATAATTTCTAAGAAAATAGAATTGTACAAATAATAATAATAATAAATAAATAAAATAATTGTTGGAATTAAATGACACTGTATTTTTATCTATATTACTCTAACACCTTATTACTAACAATTAAATTCTTATAGTACAAACGTTCTATATACCTTGTTCTATTCGCAACTAACGAGGACTGAGGACCGAGTACTGACTTATTGCCGAAAATCTTCATATATATATACACATCGCTCTCCCCACTCCAACTACGGAAGTTCGTATCTACCAATTATATACATATAATTGCCTACAATAATAAATAAAAATAATAATAAATAAAAATTGTACAAATAATGTCTAAGAAAATAGAATTGGACAAATAATAATAATAATAATAATAATAATAATAA